ACACACACACACACACACACACACACACACACACACAGGTTTAAACAGGAATAATAAATCAATATATGCCACATGAGGCTGTGAGTGTACCATGGTTAAGGGCATTTATAAGTATTTGCAATAACTGCAAAGACCGTAATTATTTATTAATCATTTATTTAGATTTAATCTCTCCCTCACCTCACTAATGTAGAATAGAGTGGAATGAATTGAAAACCGAAGGCTGAGTGAATGGAAAGTTTAAAGGATATTTGTGTTAAAGTTATATGTAATTATTAAAACAAGAAAATAATTTTTAAAACATGATAATTTAAAAAAAAAAGTAATACTGAATAATAACTCTACAAATAAAGTAAATATATAATTTATGAAAAATTTGAATATAAAAATATATGTAGATAATCTAAAATTAGTAGTGCTGTCAAACAATTAATCGCATCCAAAAGAAAAGTTTTATATGTGTGTGTGTAGTGTGTATATTTATTATGTATATATAAATACACAAATAAATATGTAAATATTTAAGAAAAATATTAATATTTATATATAATATAAATAATATTTGAATATATATATATATATATACACACACACACATGTGTATTTTTAAAATATATACATGTATGTTTGTGTATTTATATATAAATAATAAATATACACAGTACACTACACAAACATATTTTGTAAATAAAAATGTTTATTTTTGGATGCGATTAATCACGATTAATCATTTGAAAGCTCAAAAAATTATATATCTATAATTTATGAAAAATTATAGAATATTAAATTATAATAATTATATCATTTATATAATACAAATATATAAAATTCTATATATAAAAATAATCCTAACTGCAAATATTGTATTAAATAAAGTCTTATGATGCAATTTGAAATTCGTGGCCTTTTCTCATTCTGTGTGGTTTAAATGTGGCCCCCTTGGCCTCTGAACTGGAGTGGCCCTGTACTAGACCAAAAATGTAACCATATCTTCAGACCATGTCAAGTAAAAAACATTGAAATCAAGTTTATCATTTTTCGAATAATGCACAAACAAATTTGTTGAGAGCTTGCCAAAGTGGAGGTGAGGCTTTCTCTCCGCATCGCTTTAGTGTATTCAACCCGAACTTGGTGAGTGTTATATTAACCTTGACCTGCAGGTACCTGCACAGTTTTGACACAGCACCACCTAGTGGTCAGGAGACATGAAAAAACAATTGATTATTTTTTGCTTCTGAACTGTTTGACCAAACTTCACAAGACTGGTTTCTTTACTGCATGCAGAGTCAAATGGTACCCAATTTTCTGTGTTGGCCTTTTTGAAATTTGACAAAATTTGCTATATTTTATGAATGCATTGGCGTATCATTTCAAAACTTGG